TGTTGTTTTCTTTCATCATCCTGTCAATTCCAAACTCAGAAGCCTATAATGTTTTTCTGTGGTGCTGCTGTGACTCTAAAAATACATTTATTAATATGCAAGCTCTTATGAGCAGGATTCCTACTGTACTGAATTGTATTGTAACTGTATTGTTTGCCTAAGGTAAAGTGTTGGCGTTATATAAATCCTGTGTAATAATAATACTAATGATAATAATAATGGATTTCTTCTTCACCATCAACTTTCCTGTTCAACCCATTCATGAGAGACTGTGATGCCTTTGCTTGTGTTCTTTCACTCCCCATGAAAAAGATTAAAAGTTCAAAGATGGTGCTGAATGGCCTCATGCTTCTGTGCTGTGCACACATCCTGAAAACTGTAATACTGAGTCTTTTATTGTGTTTAATGGGAAAAAAATATCATTAAAAAATCTATTTTCTATCACACTCAGTGGTCATTCATTATTTTCATTCTAGTAAATCACATGACATTCCCCTATGATTGCTTCACAATGCTAGTAGCAAATTAAGTTACAAGTGTTTTACACGTTTTTTTTTAGCTTAGCTGTACCTTCCATTGATGTAAACATAGTAGCACATCACAAATAATGTACAATATTACTGATTTTAGCTTAATAGAGCTTTTTAAAAAATATAAAAATGAAGGAACACTATCATTGTTTAAATACTACAAAGCATATAACAGAATATGTAAAAAGGAAATCGCAAAAAATTGAAATCAAACAACAGATTGTGAAGGATAGCAGGACAAACCCCAAAAAAATTCTTCAAATATATAATTGTAAAAAGGTCAGGTCTGAGCATGTAGCTCCCTTACAAAATAATCTAGAATGGGTGACTGGGGACGAGGAGAGGGCAGATTTATTAAATACCTTCTTCAGCTCTGTGTATACAAAGGAGCTTGAGGGAGCTCTTGTCCATATTAGGCATAGTATTGACACAGCTCCAAATGTTCAACAATAGCCCAAAATGTATACGGTCCAGAAAAATTTTGACAGAATAAAGGTGAATAAAGCACATGGACTGGATGGAATACACCCATGGGTCCTAAAAAATGTTAGTTTTGTCATTTCAAAGCTATTGTTTCTAATTTGTAGTGACTCTTTAATGACTGGCATAGTGCCACTGGATTGGTGTGAGGCCAATATGGTGCCTATATTTAAAAAGGGATCAAAGTCTTTGTCAAGTAACTACAGACCTGTTAGTTTACTAGTTATATAGGAAGATACTGAAACGTTTAATAAAAGACCACATAGATGAGTTATTGCTGGAAAAAAAATATTTTAAGCAACAGACAGCTTGGATTCATGAAAGATAGAAGTTGTCAAACAAATTTGATTTCTTCTTATGAGGAGGTGAGCAAGACCTTGGACAGAGGAGTGTCTATGGACGTGGTATACTTGGATCTTGCAAAAGTGTTTGACACAGTTCCCCACACACGGCTAATTTGTGAAGTCTACAGGCTTGGAAAAATCAGTTTGTAAATTGATAACAAACTGGCTAAATTAACAAATTTAGAGAGTAGTGGTTAATGATTCATACTCTGAATGATCTTCAGTTGTTAGTGGTGTACCCCAAAGATCAGTGTTGGGATCCTTACTTTTTAATATATTTATAAATGATATAGGATGTGGGATTAAAAGTAACACCTTAGTCTTTGCAGATGGAACCAAGCCAGTGGAATAACATCCTTTCAAGATGTCTCCAACTTACAAGCTGACCTTAATGCACTGTTTAATCATTCAACCATGTTGTAAATGAGGTTTAATGTTGGTAAATGTAAAGTTTTGCACTTGGGGGTTAGGAATATGCATGCATCATATATACTAGGGGGAGTACAACTGGTGGAGTCAATGGTGAAGAAGGATCTGGGTGTTCTGATAGATCATAAGCTTAATAATGGCATGCAATGTCAAGCTGAGGTTTCCAAAGCAAGCAAAATCCTCTCTTGTATTAAAAGAGGTATGGACTGCAGAGAGAGAGAGAGAGATATCATATTACTCCTGTATAAATCATTAGTAAGACCTCACCTGGAATATGCAGTTCAGTTTTGGGCACCAATTCACAAAAAGGATATCAGAGGACCTGGAGAAAGTGCAGAGAAGGGCAACCAAACTTATGAGAGGTATGGAGGAGCTCAGCTATGAGGAAAGATTAGAGGAACTAAATTTATTCTCTCTTGAGAAGAGGAGATTAACCCCTTGGTGCCGGCGCCTCCCAGCCCTTTAAGGGTTTCAGAAGCTGGGAGGAGGGGTGGGGTTTATGGTCATGTGACCGCCGTGATTCGCTGTCATGGCGGTCACATGATCTTGAAAGGTCCTGATCACAAGAGGAGATCGGGACCTTTTCGTGAGTACTGGACATATGTGCTGGGAGCACGGCAGGGCACGCGCTCTCAGCACATATTATTTTCTTAATTTCACGCAAATGTGCGGCCCCTCGGTATCAAGGCCCAGATTCCAGAAGGCCACACATTTGCGTGCGGTCGGTGCCAAGAGGTTAAGGGGGGATATGATCAACATATATATATACATAAGTGGTCCCTATAGTGAACTCGGTGTAGAGTTATTCACCTTAAGGTCATCACAGTGGACAAGGGGGCACTCTTTATGTCTGGAGGAAAAGAGTTTTCATCTCCAAATACAGAAAGGTTTCTTTACAAGGGGAGCTGTGAAAATGTGAAATAGATTCCCTCAAGAGCTTCTGGTTCTGACCAGCTCAGTAGATTGTTTTAAAAAAGCCCTGGATTCTTTCCTAGATGTACAAAATATAACTGATACTAACATTTATAGGTAAAGTTGATCCAGGGAATATCCAATTGCCTCTTAGGGGATCAAGACAGAATCTTTTCCCCTACAAGTACAAATTAAGGGAGATGGTGGTCAGGTGCAATATCCAACTAGTTCTCCCTGGGACTGCTTTATAGTAGATCTTGGAATCCGATGCTCAGGGACACCCTCAGGACAGCCGGTGGATGAGGAAAATTTAATCTGGGGTCTGAGGAGGTTCACCAAAGTGCTCCTTACAGAGATTGCTGATTTTTGTTCATTTTTGCTATGAAGTTTATCCTCAAAGTTGTACAGTTCCCTGGGCATTCCATATACCCCTAGAACTCATCCATGTTATTAACTCCTAAAAAAAAAAACAAAGCCAAGCTCAGGGACTGTTTTACTGACTTAGAATGAGAGCGCTGAAAAATGTGTGTTGCCTGGCTGTGCAGAGCTTACGGGGACCCAAAATCTCAGTGGCCCTTGAGAGGGTAGAACTACAGATATCATTTTTTCCCTTTTATTGTTGAACTAGATGGATTGTGTCTTTTTTCAGCCAGGCTAACTATATAACTATGTAACTGTTGGCACTCCAGTACTTTATAGGCCAATTTTGCATATATAAAACCAAGTTCTTAATGTTTAAATCTTGAACATCCACTCATCCTGATAGCGCTACCAGGGACAGCAAGTTGAAGAAGGCAATCCAGAACCTCCTTTTATCTGGTCCTGGATTGCAGCAGGCCCATCAGTATTTCAGATTGTTCAAAAATATTTTTAGTTTCTTCAAGAAATTAATTCCAAATCTAAATACAGAACAGTTTATACATGAGTGTCAGTATCTAAGATCACCTCAAATTAGTTCTCTAAGTTCAGAGCAGCAGGCATTCTAAGATATGGAACTTTAGGTTAGATGTAGACAGCAACTTAGAAGGCCATCTAAGTAAGTATTGTAGTGGCCTGTCACTTTTTCTGGTTGCAATTCATAGAATGTCAATAAGCTGTAGTCCACAGTAGGGTGGCACTATTGTGAATTATTTTAGCTGAGAGTATTTTTGCTCAATTTAAGTCTCAATTACCCGAGCCTTGATGACAATTTATACCTCGGCCCTTAGCCAAACATCTGTTACCATCATGAAAAGCAATTCACGCTTTTGGTATTTGTTAATGATATACTGTTCTAAGAAAATTTTGTTGCCATTGCTGACTTCTCTTTCTGAAAATGCAGATGCAATGATTGTAATATTTTCTAAAGCACAGCTAAGAACTAATAGGTAGGCTTCACCAATAGGTAGGCATTCTAATCTGCATGTTGGTTCCAGATCAATAACTCAGAATGTATCTAGAGACAGCCAGATAACTGGTATTTTATATGTGAATTTTGCTGACAACCCTACATTTATTTCAATATAGGTTTCCTTTAAGTATACATATTTGGATTTACAGTAAATGTCACATACTTCTAGGATGGGTAATACTTTTGAACTGATTTTTATTCATCATGTTTAACACTTTTTTCCTTTCAATTTTAAGCTTCAAAATTGTTCATTTTAAAGGCAATAGCTACAAAATCTTCCATTTTGTCACTACTAAACTTATACTTTGCATTATTTGTAAAAGGATACTGAAGGCAGTTATATAGTTGTTTAGTTTACTAAAGCAAAATATTCTTAAAATAAAATGTTGTCAGTTTTTTTTATTTTATTTGCTGATGATTGCATAGTGTTCAATCAGAGGATGAACATGTGAAAAAAGAGATATCACACAGACTGAAATGGAAAAGATTTCCTCAAAATTCTGAATAACTGGGTTTGTCTAGAGTAAGTAAAATACTTGCTTCTGCCATGACTTTGACATCACATTTGTGTTTAAAATAATTTCCTGGTTTTCACTGCATACATCAGGACAAAGGCTTCAGTAGGCACTTCAGTGGAATTAAGAAAATCTTCCTCTCTTTCCACCATAATGCCAATAAATTATATTTATTTTCAAAGTGTAATTTCAGTAAATTGTAGATAACACACCTGAGTTTTCTCAGTATCAATGAAAAATAGCAAAAACATTTTTATTTCATTACAGGATCAACCTTCCAGCTGTGAAACAAACAAAACTGACAGTATGATAAATATTGTAGCATTTTAGTATAAAAACTTTTTTTTTTTACATAGTCTAGATAAAGCTTGTTGATTGTTGGTAATTTTCAGTCTATAAATTAAGTAATGTTGCCGGCATTATAATTTTCTTCTCCAAACATTTCTGCCAATAATTTAAAACGGGGTCCCCAGTCACTTAAAAAATCATAATTCTGATCTGTCTCCATTCTCAGTGACTCTATAGAGCTCAATGATTCAGCTACAGATCCCGAACCTTCATAGGCATAAGTAGCTAGTGAGTCATATGGTGGAGCATTTGGATCTACATCATGCTCTTGAAGCCTTTCATTAATAAAATCTCTGATGTCACTGTTATATTCTGCTGATGGTTTTTGACGAGGCTCACACAAAGGTTCAGGTTTTATATCTCTGCGAACATTATTGTCTTCAATCACCTTTGGATTTCTTAGGGCACCAATGTCAAAAGCCTGTGTGTCCTCCTCTCCACCTCCTTCATCATCATAATGGATAACATTGTCCCTTATATCTTCTTTTGAGGTCATTAGGCCATCCTTCTTTTTCTGTCTTCTTAATGCTACGTAGAGTACTACAATAACTAAAGAAAGAAAAGGAAAATATCCATAAACTTACATGACTTTTAAAACTCTCAAACCTAAAAAATATATACAGTATGGTACAATGCAGAAAATGTACTTTAGGGTCTCCTTGGGGTTAAAGGCATAAACATTATTTGGATTACAAAAGAACGTAAAGAAATTTGTAAAAAAAAGTAAAAAAAAAAAATTCCCTTACATCTTTGGTAGGAATGTAAAGAATGAATCTGAAAACAACCACAGAACGTTATGTCTTATGCAATTGCAGGTACATTTTTTTATGTGAATATTGGCAAAATTGTATGTTGCTAGGCTATGTTCTCTCCAGGCCCTGATGTTCGTTATTCATAAGAATAGTGTGAATCTGGAATATATAGCACATTATGGTCACTAGATGGAGCCAGTGCTTGATGCTGCAAGGAATTTGGCTATTAGGAAGGAGGGGGTTCCAGCAGATAGTGTGAACCTATGTACCAACTAGCTGCTCCTCTCAGCCAGTTCACTAATGGGTAGGGGATTTAAAAAAGTCTAAGCAGAAAAGTGTTGAGAGGTGAAAGGACACAGAAGTGTGGTCCCCCTCTTGTCTTCATTCTGTCTAATTTTTGTTAGATCACTGATATATGTTTCTCACTTGGCATGGTTTTTGTGCCTAGGGAATTGCAGGGATAAAGTTAGCTATAAATTTATTGTCCATATTTTGGACTAAGTTACTGCAGGATGCAGCATAAATCTGATGGATTTTTACTTCTTTCTCAGTTTCCTTGTAAATTAACTCTAGTGTACCTAAAATTGTACAGTTAAAACGAAATGTTATGGGTAGTGCTGGTATATAGAAATACAGTTTTATTGTGTTAGAATTGGTCCATTCTATGATGAAGCTCAAAAATGGCCATCTGAGCTATATATGAACATTCATTTGCACAAAACCCACCTAAAAGTATGATAATGCACAGTAAAATTGCTATCAAAGCTCCTGTGCTTAGTCCAACAGGTAAAAAAATAGCTTCCACATTGCAGGAAAGGACCACTCCTCTTGAATCACATCTGCATACTCTAATGGTCAGTGTGCTTGTACTACTTTGAATAGGATAACTGCTGTCCTCCACCACCACTGGGAGAAGATAGAACTCTTTCTGTCTTCGGCTATACCCATGTCTCTGAGCAACTATGCCAGCTGAATTATCTGAAAAAGAAAGAATCATGATCATTTTTATTTTACATTTACCCACATTTGATAAACAACATATCATTTTTTACTATTATTGTATTTTTTTTTTCATTAATTTAAATGAACCTGTCAAAACTCTTCACATTTGGAATATGATGAAAAAAGATGCAGTCAAAATGATGAGTAGATAAAGAGTTATTGGTAGCTTAAATGACACACAAAAACTTTTTGATAGAAAGCTTTATTGCACCCTTCAGTAATTTATAAAGGTTTCCTATTTTAGTATTGTATTATGGTTAGCACTTCCGCCTGGCAGTACTAGGGTCACTGGTTCGAATTCCAGCCACGGCACCTCCTGCCTGGAGTTTGCATGTTCTCCCTGTGCCTGTGTGGGTTTCCTCCCACACTCCAAACACATGCTGGTAGGTTATTTGGATCCTGTCTAAATTGACCCTAGTATATGAATGTGAGTTAGGGACCTTAGATTGTACGCCCCTTGAGGGTTAGGGACTGATGTGAATGTACAAAATATATGTAAAGCGCTGCGTAAATTGACGGCAGTATATAAGTACCTGAAATAAATAAATAAATAAATACATGTATGGATACATTGTGTGGTGGGGATGAGCTTTTCCATTTCTAATGAACTCTCAATGTAAATCCAAACCTTTAAAAAATGTATATGACCTCTTAATTCATGGTTCATTTACCAGTAGACATTTGCACTGAATTGTTTTGGGTTGGAAAAAAATTGGTCCCATGCATTTTTTGGTACATGGACACATATTGAAGATGAAAAAAGAATAGCTACATGTATTGCAATGGGTTTTGACACATCACACAATGCATTTCATTGCTGGAAGTAACACATGCAGATGGGGGAATGGGTCTTCAACATTGCATAGGAAAGATTGGAAGGATAAGAGGAGTTTTAAAGGAAAAGCTGAGATTTGTAAATACTGTCCACTTCCTATATTACTGAATCTACCTATTAGAGTTTATTTACTAAAGGAATAGAGGGTGTTCACTTAACCCCTTTGCGCCGGCCGCACACAAATGTGCGGCCTCCCGGCGTCTGGGCCTAGACGCCGAGCGGCCGCACATTTGCGTCCATGTAACTAAATACATATGTGCTGAGAGCGCGCGCGCCCTGCGCGCTCCCAGCACACATGTGTGGTACTCACGGAAAGGTCCCGGTCCGCTCTTTCGAACGGGACCTTTCCCGATCATGTGACCGCCGTGACGCGTCATCACGGCGGTCACATGATTCCTAAGCCACGCCCCAACCGCCCCGCCTCCCGGCGTCTGAATCTCTTAAAGGGCCGGGAGGCATCGGCGGGAAGGGTTAACAAAGCAAGAATAAAAAATTGAACCTGTGTTCACTCTGAGTAAGCAAGCAACTACAATGGAGATTAAACAAGCAAGTTTTTTTTAGCATATGATTGGTTGATTGAAGTTAAAACAGCTTCATCATATTTACTTATATCAGTGTGAAATTCACTTTGTAAAGATAACATACATTTTGTTAAGTAACCATCATCTCAATCCTTCAGTAAATCAGCTATGCTGTTTTAGAGCTCATGCATACAGATGTATATGCAGGCATATGGATGAACAGCATACAATAATCCTGTATTCATGGCACCCAGGAGGCAAAGCTGCTGTGTAATTCTGCTTAGAGGAATGAGTTACAAAATATGCTGTATGTGAGTATACACATGTAAACGCCAATATTGGGTTTACAGGCACACATGTATGTTAAACAAGTACAGGTGTTTATACACCTATACACACATACAGCATATATTTTGTAATTTATTCCTGCTTGGGCTCCTGGTCACTGTACCCTTAGGTTGAAACTTTTACAGAAGGCTTCTGTATTTTTTCATCAAAGTTACATTTGAAATGCAGAGGCTTTTGATACATATATGTTCAGAGGTGTATTGTTAATAATCTATTGTTAAAATGACACTAAAGCTTTGTTTGTGCTTTGTTTTCTAATAACAAACATGTCTATACTTACCTGTTCTGTCCAGTGATTTTGCACAGAGCAGCACAGATTCTTTTTGGGTTCCTGCTGGTGCTCCTGGATCCTCCCCCTCAAACAGTGCCCCCAGGCAAAGGGCAGGGAACAGAATGTTGCTCCAACCCCAACTAAGCTAAGGGGGAGAGGTGGGGCCAGTGTGGGAGGAGGCAGGGCCAGTAGAGGAGACACTATATGTGGGGACACTTAACTCGTGCTGGCTCGAGTATCATTTATGAGTGCAGTGTCTGTCAGTGCACAGTGGGCCCCCCTTTGGGGCCCTTGTGCAGGGCACACATTGCACCCATGGTTGAGCAGCATTTTCTGTCAAGAGAGACATGAAGAGCAGTTTACCATGGAATCCTTCTTCATAGGTGACCACAATAGATGCCTTCTTTATAGGTGATCCCCCACCACCATCTTTATACACACTTTCAGAGAGTGTCTACCAGCCTGCCCTGAAGTGAGATCCTATGTTTTTCTCTGCATACCTGTGTCCCAAGTCTGTGTTGCTCCCCCCTTCTCTCTTTCACTTTGCCCCTGTCGAGCCCTCTTACCTCTCCCCTCTGGACTCCCATGTGCACACAACCACTTATGGTGACTTCTCAGCATTGCAGTTTCAATGGGAGCAGGGCCATAATCAGAGCCTGCGGCACCTTGTGCCAGCTGTATGCAGATTCCCCAGTCTTGTAATCAGCAGAGCAGGGAGGGAGTTCCCCCCTCCATCAGTGCACAGTGCAAGATGACAGGATGCAGCACTTCCGGACTGGTACAATGACAGGTGTGAGATCCAATGTACAAAATGTAGAAAAGCACAGGGGGGGGGAAAAGCCCAGGCCCGGATGGTTATACAGTTAGGTACTATAAGAAATTCAGTGAGGTATTGCTACCCAAGCTGGAGAAATATATGAATGCTCTGGGAGGTGGGACGGAAGTGAGGAGAGAATCCCTACAGGCCCATGTAGTACTTATTCATAAGGAAGGAAAAGATCCATCTCAGTGCTCCAGCTATAGACCTATTTCATTACTGAACACTGACACTAAACTGTATGCAAAGGTGTTAGCAAACAGGTTGAGGGATCTGATGCCTGAATGGATCCATGGAGATCAGGTGGGCTTCGTACCAGGGAGAGAAGGTAGAGATAACGGCTTGAGAACCCTGATGCTTATTCAGAAGAGTAGAAAAGGGAAAGCCCCGGTGGTGCTCTTGTCGATTGACGCAGAGAAGGCATTCGATAGAGTGGACTGGGGCTTCATGATGGATAATTTAAAAGTGCTGGGGATAGGCGATAGAATGCGAGAGTGGATAAGCAAATTATATAGTGAGCCTACTGCAATCATCACGGTAAAACGGGGAGAGATCAGAACCCATTGGAATGTCTAATGGGACAAGACAGGGCTGTCCACTGTCCCCTCTGTTATATGTATTGTCACTCGAACCTCTGTTGTCAATAATAAGAAATAGTGGATCGGTAAAGGGAATACAGATAGAATCCACAGAACATAGAGTAGCGGCCTTTGCGGACGACTTATTGTTCTATGTGGGGAATCCTCGAATAACTCTCCCAAATATAATGAAGATTCTGAAGGAGTACGGTGAACTTTCAAACTTAAAAATTAATCCAACGAAAACAGAGATCCTGAATATTAATATACCAAAGAATGAAAAAGAAAAACTACAAAAAATTGAATTCCCCTTTATATGGAGAGAAAAAGAGATAAAGTATCTAGGAATAAAGCTTACTGCCTCACTTAAGAACTTGTATAGATTAAACTATATATCTTTGATAAATGAGATCAGGGAAGATTTAAAAAGATTAGAAGGAGGAAACCCAGCCTGGATAGGACGTATAAACCTAGTCAAAACGGTAATTATGCCTAAAATACTGTATAGATTTCAAATGGTACCAATTAAAATTCCAGAGGCCTTCTTTAAGATAATGAAAAGAATGTTAACAAAATATATATGGAGGAATAAGAAACCCAGAATAGCATATGAAACATTGAGTAGGACTAAAGAGAAAGGGGGAATGGGTCTACCAGATGTCAAGAGATATTATAAAGCAGTGGTTTTGGCAAGAATATATGACTGGACATTTAACCATAAGGGGAAAAGTTGGGTAACAATTGAAAATGATCTTAGTGGCACTAGATTGAGTCAGATGATATGGGTCCCAACACAGTTTAGGGGAATTAAAGAAAGCACAAGTATGTACACATTAAATGTTTTTAGGGTATGGGACACTTTACACAAAAACATGAAATGGGAATTCAATTCTATATTAATGCCTCTCACAAATACTGAGTATTTCCCCCCGGGAAAGAATAAGATATCAGGGAGATGGTTTAGAAAGGAGGACACCCAACTGAGTGATGTCTTGGTGGAAGGGGAACTGAGATCACTTAAAGATTTAATAGAGAAGAAGGGAGATATTTTTATTAGAATAGATGAGTGGAAGTATCATCAATTGAAATGTTTTATTGGAAATTTACCGAAACCCCTGAGAATAAAACAGGAGTGGAATATGTTTGAAAGGTTGTTGGGGACACGAGGTGATGGGAAACACGGTATTTCAAAAGTGTATAGAATACTCACAGAATTAGACACAAACACAAAGTCAACTTTTATTACAAAATGGGAAAGGGACATGGGAGTTGAGTTTGACGAAGATAGACAGAGAAAGATGTTTAGATTGATACACGATAATGTTAGTATGAGAGAGGTTGAGGTTAATTACAAGTGTATGACACGATGGCACATTACACCGAGTGTAGAGCATAAGATGAATGGGGAAAACTCAAATAAGTGTTGGAGAGGATGTGGAGAGATTGGCACGGTGTTTCACATATGGTGGGAATGTCCGAAAATTCAGGCCTTTTGGAAGATAATAGTTAAACTGATTGAGGAAATAACCGAAATTGACATAGGGTTAGACCCAACGACGTGCCTCCTACACAAGGTAGAGACATCTGTAAATAAACATAAAGATTCAGGTATTTGGTACTTCTTGAATGCAGCGAAAGGGCTGATACCCAAGTTTTGGAGAAGAGCCGAGGTACCGAAGGAGGAAGACTGGATTAACAGAGTGAACCAGATTGGTAGAATGGAAAAATCATACCATATGCATGAAGATAGGATGGGAGTGTATTCTAGGAGATGGGAAAAGTGGGAAAGAGCAAGATTGAAGGAGAAATATAAGAAAAATATAAACTAAGAGGTTAACAATAAAATGGATAAGCCTTATTAGATCAGAATGGATTGGAGTCTGCAGAGGGAAGGGGGGATGAGGGGCGGGAAGGGGAGATAGTGGGATGGGAAAGAAAAGAGTTTTTTTTAATAAGGGAAAGATAGAAATGTTATAAATGTTTATTTGTATTGAGAATTTTTTTTTTCCCTGTTTTGGGACTTTTGTATTAATATGAAAAATTTAATAAAATATTTAAATTAAAAGAGATCCAATGTACACAGTGCAGCTTGTCTTCACTTGGGACTCGTGCTGACGCACCAGCGCTGCAGGCCAGGACTAATTTCTTTGCTATGCGCCCCTCTAAATATTGTGCCTGAGGTGACTGCTCCGACTGCCCCCCACGCTACACCACTGGTGTCCAAGGTAGCATTTGCATTGGCAGAGCAGAGTAGAACTGGCTAAAAGGATTATTTTAACATAGGTAACCAGCTTAAACATGTATTGCAATATGTGTGAGCTAAAAATCCCTATTTTTTTATTGCAAAGTTTGCTGGTAAGCGAATATATCAGTGTGCAGAGGGTCCTTTCAGAATTGTATTGTTAATAATCTAATCTAATATACTCTAATCTATAAATAAACATTGTCTTTTTTAATTTTTTTTTTTAACATATCCACACAAGACTCCTGTAGAGTGGTTTTTCTCTTCACCAAACTAAAATGCTAATAAAACCTCTAAGGCTCTTTACTTATTGTTGTACAAAACAGAAATCAGTGTGTTTGGCCTTTTTCCTGAAGCTCCATTTATCACCAAGCTGCTGTTTGTGACATTTATACACAACAAAGTACATCTGAAAATATATCCCCTTCATGTCATTACTTTTCTTTTTTGGCATAAAATACTTCTAAAAAGGATGCTCTAATCTCTTTGTTTCAGTTGTACCCTCCAGCTTATTTAGGATAGTATGTTTGGTAATAAATGATCCACTAAAACAGATAAGTGACATGCCAAGGGTATTTCACATCTAAATCCAATAAAACATGATTTAGGGTTTGTCCACAAAGGATTTTGTTCTTGAACATTTGTGTTTATAGGCCTAACAGTAGTACAACTCACCACAGACATACACACATATACATATGCCATGGTTTTGGTTGTATGGAAAATATATTCTGACAAATGGTTCAGTAGATATGAAGTTCTACTCTTCAAAGTGCATTTTTTGTTGCCCTATTTTAAATGTAGAATTTCAGATAAGCGAACCAATTCATGCTAGTCAGAACTTGCAATAAATCCATCTCATGAGCTCTTTGGCAAACAATGTTCTTGTTAAAATCTCCCTTGGGAGAAATGTTGGTATGCAATGCAATACTGCTTGTGAGTGGCTTCAAACACACTTGGTATAAGTATAGATCTATATTCAGAAAAAAAAGTTAAACAAAAAAAGACTAAAAAAAAAAAACAAAACATAAAAACACAAAGAAACCACAAAGACAAAGGAAAAGAAAAAAAAAAAACAACGGGCATATTAGATCGACCATTTGGTCTTTTTTCTGCTGTCACTAATTTATGTTTCTGTGTTTCTATGCTTACTTTATTTGATCATTATATGCTTTTCAACTTACCATAAAATGTTATCATATTAATGTGTACCCTGCCAAGTAGTGTCACTAATGCGCGGAAATTTACATCCACTATAGTTGAGCCTTTCAGAGGCACATAAAAATGTACTCCAAAGATATAAGTGAGGTAAAGTTCAACTTTATGACCCAGCTATGGAAATTATACACAATCAAAGTTCTAAAAGGTTTATCTATTGTGGTTTTCGTAAACACTTTACAAATATGCAAACCTTGGAAACGCTAAACAGGATGTGCTATTGAAGCCATTGGGACTCAAAACAGGCTGGGAGAACATGTGTATTACAGTACAGAAAATTACGTACATTTACACAGATTGGTTTGGAAATCTAAAATCCTTGCTGGATGAGAAGTTGGGCCAAAAAAAAAGCTTAAATCTCTCTTTCTTTCATCAGGGATAATGGGATAGAAGGGTGGGATCTGGTGATAATAGAAGTCAAGCTAAGATTATCCAGAAAACAGCAAAATATGTATAAGGCAGAAAATGCTTTTGGATAAGCCTTTGGTCTCTTCATCCCACAAAACTTTCAAAATTCAGAATTCAGCCAGGACATCCAAATTAATGAAATTTGATCTGAATCTAATTTCATTAAAATTGTGGGATCAATTATAATGAAAATATGGTTAGGCACGGTACATGAATTGAAAAAATTACAACATTGAATATAACAAAATCCTCCTGCGCTGATAAGGAAGTAGGCCCTAATAAATAGCTGATACCAAACCAGTGTATAAATGTTAAAGAAATTAGTGTAGCGCTTCAAATAATACATAGAACAATAATGTTCAAAAATAACTAAATACCTCAGTCACTATTGTGACTAGTGAAAGTGATGAGAATATGTAAACATATATCTCCGTGACAAATAATTATTGTGCTAGGGTCACCTAAGTGACCTAAATAAGTGACAAACACAAAAATAAAGACTCTAATAAATGGGAGAAAAAAACGTGACACTTCAAATCTCATAGAAAAACATTCCAAACACTCTGATAGTCCAAAATTATATATTAATAAGTTTTTTCATATAAACATGCAACGTACAGTTTGTGATTAATTCGTGAAAGTGCCAGCACACTTTATCCACTCCAGCTGAAGTGCCTCCTCACCTCCTTTCTGCGACCACAAAGGGCCAAAAAGCCTTCAGGATCACCTTGGATCCTTCACAGTACCGGCTAATATCTCTCCTCCTTCAGTATCTCTCCAGCAAGCTTTCAGGACCACCTTGGATCCTCTGATATTAATCCACCTCCAGTATCTCTCAAATACAACCTCCAGGACCCTCTGTATAGGTACTCTGCAGAATATGTAACTCACCATGCCAGTGAGCAATAAAAGAGATCCTCCATAGTGTAGTATTTCAAGCAAAAACAGTCCTTTTATTTTTAGTTAAAAGTACACTCACATTTTAATGCAGTCCCCTTCCTCTCCTGATGTGGGGTATGCTGCATCCATGCGGTACTTCCTGGGTGTACTAAGATGTCTACCACCGGAAGTGCATCACCTCGCACCGGAAGCTGCGTATCGGCTAACCGTATTTTTAGTTAAAAGTACACTCACGTTTTAATGCAGTCCCCTTCCTCTCCTGATGTGCGGGTATACTGCATTTATGCGGTACTTCCTGGGTGTACTAAGATGGCGTCTTACGCTGGAAGTGCGTCACCTTGCACCAGAAACTGCGTATCGGCGTAACGTATTGCTGCATTTATGCGGTATTTCCTGGGTGTACTAAGATGGCGGCTTACACCGGAAGTGCGTCACCTCGCACCAGATGCTGCGTATTGGCGTACTGTATTGCTGCATCCATGCGGTACTTCCTGGGTGTACTAAGATGGTGGCTTTCACAGAAAGTGCGTCACCTCGCACCGGAAGCTGCGTATCGGCGTACCATATTGTCACTTGTTTAGGTCACTTAGGTGACCCTAGCACAATAATTATTTGTCATGGAGATATATGTTTACTTATTTTCATCACTTTCACTAGTCACAATAGTGACTGAGGTATTTAGTTATTTTTGCACATTATTGTTCTATGTATTATTTGAAGAGCTACACTAATTTCTTTAACATAAAAAATTACAACGTTTCCCGGTTTTATTCCAGAAAACAAACCTGTAATTCTAATTATCATAACATAAAATTTTGGAGATATTTATATAGGAATAAAACTGTTACGCAATAGATGAACAGAGTAATACTGAAATCATAGAGAATAGACATATTTTTATTTAAACTACAAATCTAGCTTTCACCTGTGAGATATTCCTGGGAAATAAATATATGTTAATCATAAAACAGCTACAATGAGCCAGAAAACAAATAAAATGACAGCAATGTGTACAGGCATATATCAAAGATATTTGTTTTGCTTCCTGAAATGCTAATGCATGTCACAATTTGAGAATAGAAAATGTATGTAATCAAGATTCTTACTTTTATAGTCATGGATGGTAAAATTGGGGTTTGTGGAACCATCAGGTGGCATTCTGAAGGAAAATTTCTGCCCTGCAGGTGACATATCCTTGTCAGCAGCACCAATAATTTGGATGATCTGAAAGCAGACAGAAAACACACACTGTACAGAACATTTCTACATTTTATGTAAACACTACTTACATCAAGCTTCTACAAAAGATAAGAAATATTTATTCTAGGATTCAGTAGGCTTTTAACAGACAAAGACATTTGACGGAACAAAGGAAAGTGAAGGAAGTCAAATGTAAAATGCATTTCTATCATTGCTTCTTACTGATATTGTTAAATATAACATATAAGAAAGTAAGTGAAAAAATCCAAAAGTTATCTTCCAAGTAAAAAAGAGTAACATTAAGACACAAGTCTCAGAGGAAATAAACAGAATGGGTCCTAGGATTTTTACATTATGCTTATTTGATTTTATTTTAAATAAACTGCAATATAAAGAATGTCAAAACTTGGCTGATTTTTTTTTTTTTTTGATAAATTGGGGAATGATTAGCTCCCCTGTAACCCTTTTTGCTGTGTTTTTTTCTCTGTCATTTTCTGTCCTGGTAATCACTGTTATCAGAGCTGTAAGTGAGGGGAACCTCTTTAGCATGGAAAATAGTCCAAACAGCATATACAGAAGATTGTCCTCAGCAATGGGTTGGGTGAAGTCAATGATGGGAAAATATGCAATGGACACCAGAAATGAAGCAAAAAGAATAAGCTTTACTTTCCCAACAAACCAACAATATTTTGGGGACATGCAGGTCCTGTTTATAAATGAGTCACCTTGATAGAAGGGCCTTGTACAGCCCAAAAACTTTGTTGGTATGTCATGCTAGTAAACTTTAATTCACTTGCTTTATTTCTAGTATGCTGACCTTCATTCACTTTTTTCTCCCTAGTTAGGAAACAGGAAGCAATAAAGACCCAACAAAGGTTCTAATCAAACTAATCATTCTTCACACTATTCAAAACAAAAAAAAAAAAAAAAAAGTTCTGGCTGGAGTTGTTTCTGGAATCCAAAAAGACGTAAAGAACCTGGAATCTGGTCTTTACTGAAACATTGATTTGGATATATATGACTTGTAGCACCGCTCAAAGTCGGATGCCTTGAAATAACCCCTCCGGTACTCAGAAAAATGTGAGCCAGCATCCTGACATTGCTTCAGAAGAAATGAAAGCAAAGTAGGAGGAACGCCACATTGACCTACCCAATGTAGTATGGTGATGGCCTCAGCCGCCGCTCCAGAAACGCCCACTGATGTGCTTCACCCTGCCCACTGGGGCTTGGTCACACCTCTGTGTCCAAGCCCCAGTGGGTGGGGTGAAATGCATCAAGGAGAATAGCTCAGCTGTTGAGGACATCACCGCACTACATTGGGGAGGTCAATGTGGCATTCTTCCTACTTCATTGGTTTGGATATACTGACTTACTAATGACAAAATACTGTTTAAGCTTTGAGAACCGAAGTGCTTTATTATTATGTTTAATGTTTACTCTATGCTAGGGTACATATACATTTCCAACCAGGCACACACCATGTGGAGCATTCACTGGTGAGAACCACACTGTGACTACATCTCCTTTCAAAATTTACATTAGCAATTCAAATGGTTATCGTATACTCAGCACACTGTGGTCGGATGTACTTAAAACAGGTCTATTTTCTTTCAGGGCAGGCCTTCATTTCTGGTACATTTCAGTACAAACCTTTAAAGTTGAAAAATATAATGTGGAGAAAAGTGTAAATATTTAGCACATCATTTATTATTGTAACCAGGGTTCTATTGAGAAGATGCCCCTATCCTTCTGCCCTAGTGACAACCTAACATATAGAAACTCATTGAGACTGGAATAAGGTAAGAAATCTTCTCATACAGAAGTTGCAGAGCTGCAGACAATTGTATACCTCTTTTTTTGGTAGACTTTAGGCAACAGATATGAATAGTACAATTTAAAAATAAATCTCTTTACCTGTCCTGGTTTGGAATTATCACATGCTGATATTTCATATGGTACTGTCACCTCAGGTGGAAATTCATTAACATCCAGTACATGTATAATGATTTGTACCAAACTAGTCAGTTGTGGATTGCCTAAAAAAAAAGAATTACATATTTTTTTATGATCAGGAACTTCTAACTTTCGCTATTGATGACAAATTGATAATTTGGTTAAAATGTAAAGCTCTCCTTACATAGCTGATGTGATGATGAATTGCCATGATCTTCTACTGGGCATGTCTGTCCTTCTGTTAACACCACCTAATTTTATTTGGGAAGCTAATGGGACATCTATTTCTGAAAGCCTGTAATATTAGGGCCAGGTAATCCAAGGAGCTTTACAAGTCAACAATCTGTTACTTTCACAATGACTTTCACATCCAAACTTTTGAGATTCTAGTAGTAGAAGTTCCAGACTAATGATATAGTGGCCAACCCAGAAGTGCAAGGCTACAATATTTCAGGAAGCTTTTAATTTTTTGAGAGATGAGTTGCACTGACGACTTTGCTTTGGCTGCTCACATTGCTGATGTAGAGGTGGCTGCTTTAAGTAGATATTGTACACACTGCAGACATGTACAGTAATTAATGAGACCTTCCCAAAGATGGTACTGGGGTCTTTTTAAGGGTCTTACTAAAACAATGCATTTTTATTATAATGTTTTACATTTTTATTATTTATTAATCACATAAATGCATGTTTAGGCATCCTATATGAAATGTTATGTGATGTAAATGATAACCAAAGATTGTACTTTTCGGCATTTCATGCTACCACAGGGATGCTAAACCAGATGCAAATCATTAGTGCAGCAGCTTGTATTCTACTTTTGTAGCTCTGGTGCATTGTCTTGAATTCTTTTAAATGTAGTATTTGCAAAAACTGTACAAAGTGCTCACTGTACTTCATCTCATGATATTTACTGTAAGAATGTAAAATACAGACTAGTTTACATAATCACATTAACTACAGTATTTTTGTATTTCTGTCTCATTATTGGTGTGGTACTTTAAGCATCCCTTGAATGCTTCTTCAGAACAAGGACTAAGGAGAATAACTCTTTATATATCCCATTAAATATAGAGATACTTAACAACACCTTTCTTATGTGTGATAATCTTTGTACACATGAATTTTGCTTTTGATAGGTGATCAATTTTGCAAAAAAAATAAAAAAATACCATTATAAGTATAACACAGGCTGAAGATGATGCAGGTGCCTACAGGAGCTTTTAGCTTACTCAGTCTTTTCCAACTTTCTTAAACGTAAATCAAATGAAAAACACCTCCACAGACATCTAGCATTGCAAAAAAAGTGGATCCCATCTGTCATAATCATGAATATTTTAAAGCTATGAAAATAATTTCCCTCTGTGACTGTCAACTATGGTTTGTGAACAGAAAGTGTGTCAGTAAAAACACTTGGCAAATCCATACTAAAACTTCTGACACATGCAATAATATCTTCATCCGCAGGCAAAACTTTGCATTAATATTTAGTTGGAAGTGTTGTGTTAGAATTGCCTTTGAGCTGTGTTTTTAGAAGGATTACATCCTTTTGTCAAGTGAAATTTGTGTCAAGTCTCACATAAATGTAACATAGCACTCTTTGTAGAACAAGTTCTAAAGTTCACAGAAAACTGCAGTGGTAGTTTTCGAAAACAAATGTGATGAAATAGCATTTAATGTCGGGCATAGATGCCTTGCAGCAATACAAGATGTACAGGCAAGGCAGGGCTTTGAACATTGGGTGCCTAAGTCTATGTTTGTTAAAACTTGTAAAATGTGGGAATGTTTATAATACAGTTATCATATATGCAAAAAATCTCCTAAATGTTGTTGCCTTCTGTCTGAGGAAATGTAAAGAACTGTTTGATTTCAATTCTGCATAACTGAAATGGTCATTTACAGTATATTGCAGCAATTTAGTAATAATTTATTACATTTAATACAACCAATTTGTTTGTGATTCATATACTGTGTATACAGTAAATACATAAAGGACACATAAAAATATATATTTAAATACTCTAGGCCAAATATTGTAGCTTCAGTACATACAAACAGACTGTTTTTCTATTACCTAGGATTACAGAATTAATTGCTCATGAATATATTGAAAGTGGACCTTCATCCTTTCATTTTCCCCCCTTAATTTTTTTAAAACCCTGCTTACCTGGTTTTGGGTTCTTCACAGTTAAGCTATTAACCTACCCAGTGGATCCAGCATTGTCCCCTGTCCACTGAGATTCCCTTTTCTACTGCCCCTGCTCAGTCTAGTGCATTAGTGCATCTAGTCTTTTATGACATCATTGAGAAGCTGCTGACTATGCTGAGTTCAGCCAGCCACTCTCCCGATGATGCGCCCACAAGACCCCACCCCCTTCTCCTTTCTCAGTGAAGGATTATGCCATGCACTTTGCCCACTGTGCCTCCTGGCACAGTGGGGAAAATTCAATTCATGCGCTAAGGTGAGTGATGTGCATAGGGGGTGGTCCAGATATTTCTTAATAAAATAAGTAGATAAAAAAGTCTAATTTGCACAGCGGAAGGGAGGAGGGATGGAGAGGAGGCAACATCATATTAAGGATTAAGGCTGGCTTATTAAAGAAGTAGTGTTGCATTATTTTAAAGTATATCAGAATTTTAACAATACAGATGTCATTTTAAACCCCCATTCCATGTGATCTCAGACTCTTGTCACTGCATTGACATGATCAGGGCCAGGCAGGGCTCACAATAGTGGGCTGGCCCCAGCAATAGAGAATAATATATATGAAAAATACATAAATGTCATAAATGTACAATACAGTTTACAATGGTGTAGGAAATGCAGAGTATAGCACAACATAGAAACTGGTAGATTTGCTAAAGGCAAATAGACTGTGCATTTTGCAAGAGCAGTTGCACTCTGCAAGGGAATTTGCTCAAGAGCTTAGTAAATGAAGGGAAGCTCTGCTAACTTCCATCATCCAAGGACATTTGCTCCAGAGCTTAGTTAAGGAGGGGAAGCTCTGCTAAGTTCCATAATCCAATCATATGCAAGTAAAGATGCTTTTTTTTGCATGTGATTGGGAATTCTATACTGTACCTGCAAAGTGCACATTCTGTTTCAGTAAATCAATCTCAAAGTGTAGTAAAAGTTTTCCATTTGTTGAATAAAATCCTTTGTGCTTGCTTTTCTTTTTCTTTCTGCTTTTCTTCTTTTTTTTTTTTTAAACCTACACAACTAATAAATCTGAGATACCATAGTTCATCCTTCACACTGTCTTTGGTGGATAGAGGCTTATTAGCTGAGCCACAAGCCTAAGTGCTGTGCTGTTGATAGTTTCACCAAAATCGTTATATTTCATGTTGCTGCGGACACTATAAGGTATTGTATATGTACTTAGCAACATACTAACAAACACTATTTTTTTAGGGAAAATGTTAATTTTTACTGACAGGCAGGGACCATATAGTGTTGGAGTGAACGTGCATAACTAACAGTTTTCCATGAAAAATGTTATCCATTCCCATGTTGTTAGAATACCAATTTTGTCTTTGTAAACATAGCATTGGCAGGAAAATTGCTAGTGCAGTAATGTAATACAGTAAGGGGGATTTACTAAAACTGGAGCATGGAAAATGTAGTGCAGCTGTGCATATTAACCAATCAGCTTCTTCGGTTAAGATTTGACAATAAAACCTAAAAGCTGATTGGTTACTGTGCACAGCTGCACCACATTCTGTGGACTCCACTTTTATTAAATCCCCCCAAATATGTTTGGATGATGCAGTAAACCTGACCCACATATAATCAGTTCATACCTATTGTGAAAGGTTTACTTACTCATTTTACTTGCAATTATTGATAAGTTAAATTGTGCAGTGCTCTCTCGATCCAATAGTTCATTTGTTGCAATGGTTCCCTCAATTGGATCAACAGAAAAATTATTGTTCATATCATTTGCATCAAGAGAATACCTGTAAAACATGAAAATAAAAATATACTTGTTTTGATATGAAAAGAAAAAAAATTCTGTATCATTGAATACAGTATAACAATAAATATTTGAATGATTGTAATGGAGAATACTTCAAAGGATACAAATATTTTTTAAAAATATTGACTCTTGTCAGTGCTTGCCTCAGGCAAGTGCTGGGAGGTAAAGACAGATACTACAAAGCAAAACAGCCATCTGCTTACTAGCTGTGGTATCAGGAGGATGTGAGCCAACAGGAGGCACTCTGCCCTACATCCCAGTTTAGGTTACAAGGCACCTAGGAAGATGCTACAAAGTACTACATTTACATTGTCATGTCTGGAACTCAGTAAGGTAAAAAAAAAAAGATAGTGATAATTCCTCTATCACCAGATGATCCTGCCAGACATGATACCGGTATTGTTTTCCTTTACTCCAGCCTCAATGATGTCAAATATTTCTGTACAAGCAGGGTAGGATTAGAAAATCCAACTATACAAATTAGAAGAATTGAGACTTTAGAATTTGTTTAGACTTGAAGTTGGGGGCAGCAAAAATGTGTGATTAAGCCACGTTTTTGCTGCCCACCAATCACCCATCCCTTAGGCTGCAATAGGCAGCGGATGGGAGTGTTTACATTCCATAACCATGATGCTTCATGGCAAAGTTCACCTAACATGTAATGAACACCATACAGTCAAACAAATAAAGAAACACCGCAAATGCCCCACAACTGCACATTTGTCAGCAAAAATGGGGCAAAAAATAGGTGGTGAGGAGATGTCACGTAAGTAGCTTCTGAAGCCCAATCCAATGTCTAAATCTTCCCTTACAGTAAAATTATTTCTTGGTTCAACATTTCAGTCCCCAATGCCATTTAAAAACTATGCTGGGAGGGTGGCTATTCATCCTGCATGCAGTACTAAACCTAGAAGGTGAAATGAATAGCTCCTAAGCTTCTACAGATTACTCCAAGTGTAGAAAGCTTGGATTTTAAAGTCAAAATAAACTCTAACAATGAACTTCTCTTATTTGCTCTACTTTGGTCTGGAAAATATACCACTGAAAACATTATGTTATATGTATAAAAATTACCAATTGTTCATGCCACAAAATTAGAGCTGTCCTGTGTTCTTTGAATACTTTCCATGTTTTGTTTAAAGAAGTCTGATTATCCCTCCCAGTTTCATTCTTGAGACACAGAATGGCTGGTTGCTATAATGTAGAACATAGGAGAGTGAGAGTGTTTGAGGAGCTTAAAAAAGGTCTACTGGCAGGGCTGACACCACTCAATCCACAAAAATTCAGAATTGCACTCAAGCTGAGCAATGTTGGCAGAATAAAAGGTATGTGCTTTGTACTTGAGGGGGGTGATAGAATGTGGGGAAATGAGCATGTACAGATTTTAATATCTTGTATACACGTTGTATGAATAGTCTAGTATATCATTGTTTTTTCTATTTGTCTGTTTTTTCTATTTGTCTTCATAATCTTTTTTCTGTGAGCTACATGTTCAAAATAGGATTGAAATAACACATTTAGGAAAATTGACTAGATAAAAGGGCACCTATAGAAAACTCCCAGCTTTTGTCACATAAAATTAAAGTTGAATGAAATACAGCTGAACATAGAAATACAGCTGAATGATTTATTGTGCCTAGATATGGATTATTATAGAATAATACTAGGAATATATATTCCATTTTCAGGTCCCTACATTTTTTTTCCTATGAGCTATGTATATTTTGTTTATAAATGGCCATTTAAGAAGTGTTAAATATGTGCTAAAAGATTAAAGTTTTGCTGTTCAAACTAAATTGTATGAATTTGAAAACCTATTAAAAGTTTCTTTTTATATCATCACTTCTGAGCTACAGCAATTATAATTACATATTGCACTATTTTAAGAGTGTTTTCTGCATTTCTAATGTATAATTTTCCCAACCAACATTCAAAAATAGATTTGATTTGAACTTTAATTAAAAGCTTCTCTGTGGGTGACCATCACTGTGAAGTATAGTCGTTATTAAAAGCTCTAATTGAACCCAGATGTCAGCAACATGGCACTGTATGAGTTATAAAGTATTTGATTTTTTTCCATTTATTCATTCATTTATTTGTATTTACTAGCTGCAATCTGTCCTGTAATGAAATAGAAAAGCACTGCCTCATTTATATATGCACATCAATTCTGACTAATAATTCCAAGATTAAACCTACAGTAATAAACCATAGTATAGTTGAATAAACATTATCAAAATCTGCTAATCTCCCTTGGAATAGCTCTTATCACAAAGCCATTTTAGATGCGTGGCAGCTAGTTACTACAGCATCCCCAAACTTTTACTATACAGTTTGTTGCCTTGTATACACATCATTATCACCACCACCATCATCATAGTAACACCCCTTACTCCATAAAGTATCTTTGTTACATACTGCAAAATACACATTTAGTAAACTATCACTATTATAGCTGCAAACATTCAAAAAAGATTGGAGGTTCACTCTTGTGAGGTAGGAAAACATTTTTGGAATAATAAATGTAAAAAAGACATGTTTGGCTGCAAGGTGTCTTTTATATGATGACAAAGCTTTCTGCCTCTACATGCTATATATGCTGCAATAGGAATTTAAAGTATACTTTATTGTCTAGACAATATTGATGCTAACCTGTGAAAATCATTCACCTAAGTAAAGCGCAAACTAAAATATAATAGCATCACAACAAACAATCCACATCATTCAGATACATGAACATGATACAACTCCCAAATGTGGCCTACAATAAGACCCATTAAACTACAATATCAGCATGCCACACAAGAAGGTATTTCCGCTAAGGGACACACCTGTAGAGTACACAATTAAGAACAAGTGTTTCCCAGAATATCCAGAATAAAAAGTAGCCCAGATCACTAAAAAGGTAAAATGATTTTTCGCCTCTTATTTTGACTTTAATCTGTTTTCAACCAACCTTGATGTAGCTAGTTTATAGCATTCTAAACATATCAAAGGCAACTTGTTTCACACATGCAAAATACATACAAATTTACTTGTGAATTAGTACATGCTAATTAGGCCTGTGCCTGTGTTTGTGGCTAGTTCATCATATTTTTCCATGCATTAAAATGGGGATTTCTGAAAGAAAGTGAGGCAGCTCAGTTCCTACTGAAGGCAGGAGATACATTATTTAGCTGCTGACAAGTGAGAAGGAACATGTTTTCTTGTACAAGTTCACTACTGATTAATTCAGCACTGAAATTCATTTAATTGTAACTTATGTAAAGGTTTAGGTATAATAATAATAATTATTATTATTATTTAAAAAAAATTATTTAATGTGAAGTGTCTCTTGTGTTGTTACCGGCTGTCTAAGTTGAATTTTGAAGTCCTCTGCCCACCCATTAATCACTTACCCTTTGGAATATTTACCCCCTTAATGACCATTTTTTTGCTATTCAATGGGTAATTGTGCGGTCTTTCTTTTGGTGGTATTTGATCACCGCTGGGTGCTTTAATTTTTTTGTGATATAGACTAAAAAAGACCAACATTTTTGGAAAAAAACTGTATTTTCTACTCTTGGTTATAAAGATTATCCAGTCATAAATTTAGGCCAAAATGTATTCTGCTACATGTCTTTGGTAAAACAAAATCCCTATACGTGTATGTCAATTTGTGTGAAAGTTATAACGTCTACAAACTATGGTATTTACACTGCTCAATAAAATGAAAGGAACACTTTGAAAAGACATCAGATATCAATGGGGAAAAAATATCATGCTGGATATCTATACTGATATGGACTGGGTAATGTATTAGAAATGTAAGGATGCCCCATCGTTTGATGGAAATGAAAACTGTCAACCAACAGAGGATTGAATTCAAAGACACCCGAAAAATCAAAGTGAAAAAATGATGCAGCAGGCTAGTCCATTTTGCGGAAATTTCATTGCAGCAACTCAAAATGGTGCTCAGTAGTTGTTATGGCCCCCACGTGCTTGTATACATGCTTGACAACATCGGGGCATGCTCCTAATGAGATGACAAATGGGGGTAGATTTACTAAACCTGGAGCACTCACAATCTGGTGCAGTTTGCATGGTAGTCAATCAACTTCTAACTTCAGCTTGTTCAATTAAGCTGTGACAACAAAACATGGAAGTGGATTGGTTTCTATGCAGAACTGCACTAGATATTGCACTTTCCAGTTTTAGTAAATCTCCCCCATGGTGCCCTTGGGTATTTCCTCCCAGATCTGGACCAGGGCATCACTGAGCTCCTGGACAGTCTGAGGTTGACTAATGTGTTTAAAGAAACCAGACAAATCACCATTGCTTTCCCGTGTTTGGGATTTTTAGCAGGACTGCATGTGGAACTGTCTGGAGAAGAGGATTCCTTCAGAGATGATTGAGTAGGCAGACTGAGCATTTTGTTCCAGGATGAGGTAGAGCTGAATGACTGATAGCTTTCACTGACCAGTGAAGAGGAGAAAGGGTTGCTGCCACCATGTTCACACTTCAGGTCCAATGACAGCAGGTAGAAGTGTGTCAGCTATTGTAGACCGAAGTGGGGATTACCTTGCACATGCCTGGTAAAATATTCAGGTCCTGTGGGTAGTGATTTCAATGTGTACTGTCCACCACAGATGCTTTAAAGCCACTAAACAGACTGGCTAGAGTGGAGTTCACTCAGAACGCAGCCATCTTCTTTGCACACAACCCCCTTGACTAACATGTTTTGTGAACACTTTATTAGTGGTTTGTCAATTAACACAAACAGTTAAACATGTGGTTTCAGTTCAATACATGAAAAGTACATGTGATGTTTATACAACATTGGCGTGAAGAAAATGCACCCTCTAGGTAACTGTAACATAACATTATGTTTGGTGTCAACACAGTGCAGCATCTCAGAAACTGCTGACCTCCTGAAATTTTCAGACACTAAAGTCTCTAGAGTTCACGAGAGTTTAACAAATCTAAAAAAAATCCAGTAAG